GCACAGAGATGACCTTGAGGCCCAGAGAAGGTGATTTGCAATCTCTGCTCTCCCAGCTTCCACTGTGAGGAGCTGACAGAAGCTTTACAGTAAACTTAAATAAACATATAGGAGTTGTCCCTGGGGACAGCTGGAAGTGCTGATCCCTTCTGAGGCCTCAGGAACATCAACACTCCAGACCTGCTCTCAGAAGGGAGGTGCTTTGGGGTTTTTTTTTTCCCATATATACATCATTTTGATGAGCTGCTCCCACAAGGTCTCCTGTCCCCGCTGAGCAGAGAAACTGCTGAGCAAAGCTTGTGACCAGGAAGAACTAAGAGCAGCAGCACCTTGAAAAGGGTAATATTGTCAGGACTACTGGGCTGGCTGGATCCCAGCCCTGACCTGGCAACACTCCTGTCCCTCCCTGCCAAAGCTAAAGAGAATCCAGTTCAGCATCTCCATCACACAGAGCAATTTGGCTGCAAAATTGTCACATGCTCCCAAGGTCACCATGTGCCTGGAGAGCTTAAAACAAGGGCTGGAAACCAACAGCTCCATCCCAACACCCACAGAGCACTTCACCCCCCCGGGCTGCTCCCCTGCCCCAAGCCCTGATCCCCCAAACACCCCCCCTGTGGGCATCTCCTGCAGGCAGAGGTGCTCCCCACATCCAGCCCTGCTGGCATCAGCCCAGCCCTCACTGGGAGCCACCTCTGAGCCCACTGCCCACCCTCCAAGGGGCACTGCAGCCCAGCCATGCTCCAGGGCACAGCTTCCTGAGCCACAAAACCAGGCTGAGGATGGGCTGAAGTGCAGGACTGGGGGTGGCAGGGAGCCTTCTCACCTCCCCCAGAGCTGCCAGTGACCCCTGTGAGATGGTGGCATTCTGTTGGACTCGACAACCCTGATGGGTCCCTTCCAGCTCAGCAGACCCTGATTCTATAAGTTTATGATTCTATGGGGTACAGGCCCTCCCCAAACCCTTCTCCATCCATTCAAACTGCAGACAGCTCTGTGAAAACCCCTTTTCAGTCTCCACAACACCACTGCCTTACCCAGGTATCGAGGCAGCAACAGCACTGACAGACCCCTGAGCGAGGTCTCACCTCTGAGTGGGGCTGCAGCTCCTCATCCAGCACAGAGAAACCATGAGGGCAGGCAGTGACACAGGAGTCCAGTCCTTCCTCTGCCACAGAAATGCCTCATCATCCTGAGTGGTGCTTGCATTCCCATCCTTTTCCGCTCTACATGGAAGAACAGGCCTTGGACACTTCCAGGTGTCCTCCCTCTGGTCACCACAGTCTTCCCAAAAACCACAGGGTGCTCAGCACAAACCTCCTCCCCACCCAATAACCACTAAAGTCAGTTCTGTTCAAGCATTGGAGCTTGCAGGGAGATTTCTGTTCTCCAGGCAGCCACCAGCTCTTTAAACTGCAGCTGCCATGGCTGGGAGAGGGGAGGAGAAGGGAAGCAGCGTTTTCCCTTGGATAAATCCACACTGAAGCACAGCAGGCAGGGAACACAATCTGGCACAGCCCTGCAGAACCTTTGTGCATCCACACACTGAACCAGACCTTAACAAACTGCTTGGCATGAGGAGCTGCAAAGGGATGAGGCATCAGGTGAGCCAAGTGGGAGAAGCTTCCACCTGCATCCAAACAGAGCCAGAAGCCACCATCAGCTGCCATGGTGAGCTCCAAGAGAGCAGAGCCACCACCCACCTCCCTGCCCAGGAAGAAGTG